CGGCCCCTCCCCTGGATACACCACTGTAATATTATATATATGCATTTACAAAATACAGAAAATTGTCTTACTTACTTGGTTTATATCCTGTTTATGGGTACCAAGTTTAATTTGGCTGAGTTTAAATAATTTCTTACTATCAAGTGGACTCATTAACTTTTCCATATTGTCCAATAGCTATGAAACATCGAGGTACATACAATACTATTTAGGATCCGTGTTCTGATAAATAATAGCTTTTGTTCATTTAAAATTGCATTCAATGCTGTTGATGTGTGCACCTATATGTATATAAAACAGTGTAAAGGTTTAAACATTGAAAATAAAAAGAACAACTAATTTTCCATGAACTTAAAGAAAGTAAGGAAAGTTAAAAATAATTTTGGAAAAATTAAACAAATTACAAATTAAAACGGCAATCGAAAAAATTTAATACTATTCGCATGAAAGTTAAAACTGTTACGTATATAATTTAAATGTTTTTTTTGAACGAAATTGAAATATAAACATTAATAAGAAATAAACAAATTGAATATTATGTTGGTTTCTTGTATCGGTTATATGGAAATTAATAACAGACATTATATTATTATATCGCCAGCATAGTATTTTTTTTATAATATAAAATATGAATAAATAATAATTATTTATAAACTTTTTATTATTATGTTTGTAGCCAATTCACTATAAGAATTAATATTAATAGTAGGTATAATAGCCTTACATTATAGGCAGGGTTGGTGAGTATAGTGATAAACATTTTCATGAAAATTTTATAATTTATCATATTAATTTCTTATCAAATATATCCTTCGATATTATATAGTTATAAGTTATAGTATATTAATTAACCTAAATAATTGTATTTAAACTGTATTACCATTTACACATTTTTATAATATATACCATTAAACAAACATAATATAGGAAATCCAAAATACAAATAAATTTATCTCGGCAACAAATGTATAGTTTTATCTATATTATTATAAAAAATTGTGATTTTACTTCTAGTATAAATGTTAGTTTTCCTACATTAATTGATTTTTCCATTTTTTGTAATTTATTGTTTGAGTTCTTTCCACAATTTACAAATATCCTTTCTTAGCGGACGCCTACATCATAATAGCTATCTGTATGCCTAATTTCAGTCCGATCCGTCAAATGGTTTCAGCTGTGCGTTGATAGCTCAGTCAGTCACAGGCACGCCCACAGATGAGTGGCTCACTAGGTGCAAAATACCTACTTTTAGTGACAATATAAGCTGTGGGGAGCTTTGTGCATCAAGTGCTCGGCCCGCATACAGAACAGCTATTCAGCACGATAGAATATGAATCGGATAGAAATCGCATGAACTTGACATACCTAGCGGAATTTCAGTGGTGTAAAAGCAGGCTAACCTTTCAACTGATTATTTTTTACTTTATTTACAAAACTAAAAAATACATTAATATAGTAAATACTAAACACGATTTGGTGTCTAGAAATAACCCCCCTGACCCCCCCCCCTTAATCCGGTACAATGGTACAAACACTACAAACTACATAGGTAATGATATAATAATAATGTGAGGTAGGTAACAGAAAAATTAACGAGATACGCATTATACTATAAATATGACGTTGGCGCTACAGAATACATTAATATATATATTAGATGTTTAGATAGGTGTTTAAGGGGCCAATGGACCCCCCCATGCTATCGATGAAATTGAATACAAGGCTCCTCATAATTTTTTATGATAGCAGTTGAAAAATATCAATTAAAATTTTTTTTATAAGCATTTAAAGTTAATAGTTTGACATAATTCATGAAAATATCGAAAATTTGGAAATTATTTTGTAGTTAAAAATGTATAAAATGTTTAACAATTACAGTTAAGAATTTAAAATTTAAAATAAGGTGTCTTATAATAAATAGTCATACTTTAACCGAAAAATGGACATGTAAATACTATAAGTACGGTTTCGCTTTGCTGCATCTCCAAGCGGTGGGCGGTCGAACAGCACGACCGCCGTAACTCTGAGCCTGGACGCCACCATGTCAAGAGTCTAGACTAGCTATTAGTTGCGTCTGGACTCTAGACACAGGAACGCTACTGCGAAAATTAAATTTGCAAGATAGACCATAGAACTTATACTAATAGATGGAGCATATATGACGGGTGAAAATGGGTGATTCAGTGACGGCAAATTGCATTACAGTGACGTATTACCTAATACAGTAAATCAATATTATAACACAAAGTTTAAAATTAAAAACTATACAAGTTGAAAGTAATACTTAATACAAGTTTAGTTTTTAACTAGTTAAATTCTCTTGTAACTTGTAAGTTAGAAAATATTCATGAATTATAATATAATAATATGATAATATGCGGTTTTTGTTTTTAACTATGCACGATTTGGTGTGGTATATGCACATGCTCAGAAGTGTGGAACAACATGATCAGCGTTAAATTAGCGTAACTTGGGTTCGCTTCGGGAAATTCTACCATGCTCCGTCTATTATTATATAAGGTTATGAAGAAGACAGACATTTAATTGATACAATTTTGTAAAGTTTGGAACTGTTTCAAATTTTCAATTACCTATATCTTTTAACAAACTATAGCCATGTAAAGTAATGCAGAGAGCAATGTAGATAATACAATTTGTTGAATTAGAAACTGAGTAATTATTTATCACTTTATCTTGCACAAGTAATCAATAGTATCTTTGTTTGTTAGAATTCCAGAAATTATTGGGAATTGACTTTTAATGATTTGTAAATAGTTGACCATCTTTATTAAAGATAATAATTATATATAATTTTCCAAATAAATATGGAGACATGACTAGTTGCCGAAATTATTTTAATTAATACTTTATAATTATAATGTATGCGAGTGTATAATAAACGTGACAGATCGTGTACCGCTGTGAAAATGTTTATTGTATACAATATTCTTATATTATATTATTATAAACCTTATAATATATAATTTATATAAGTACCTACCTACTCGATGGACGATGATTCATGTGAAACACTTGACGGGGCAGGAAGTTATGAAATGAAAAGATTTGTTAAAGTAGACGGTTTCAACAAAATACTGTAATACATTTTAAGGGACAAATTTTTGTTGATAGGTGCTTTCATTTTCGCTGTAAAACTTTCTTAAATGTATATGTTATATTAGGTTACATATACAATCACATGGATGATTTTTTTGACTATGTACAATATACATAAATAGTTTTAAAGAAGGAATGGAATTTATTCCTATTTTTTCTTCGGAATAACATACCTAATAAATAATCTACAATAATATAAAAAGAAGAAATATTTTTTGTTTGTTCGGGATAATCTCTGGAACTACTTGAGTACTTGACTGATTTTAAAAACTGTTGTACCATCAGAAAGCTGCACTATCCCAAGGATCTAGGTATAGGTTATATTTTATCTCGATAAGCGGCCTTTGATTTTTTTATTATAATGAAAAATTATAATATTTCAATGTAACTGTAGGAAGGTATAGCTGGTATTTAGGCTTTAGATATTATAGCTCTGTAACTTCTATTTATGGAATATAGTTTAAAATTATTTGAGTATAAAGTTTTATACCGTGTTGAAATATTTTATGTACACACTTATAAACTAATTGTATGCGTATTTGGGATCTACCTACTGTTTATTTAATACGTGTCACGTGTGTTATAATACTCGTGAGTCGTGATAAATTATAAAAGTTCTGTAGTAGGTGTCGAATAGTTTAAATAGTGTATTAATACTACTTTTACATTAAGTGTTTAATTTTTTAGATTCTTAGCAGAGCGATGAATGTATTGGTTTTAGTGTTTTACAATGATGTGTTTTATGAAGACACTATTTTCATAGTAGCAAACATGCTCCGATCATTATATTCGAGGGAAGTATCTGGTAGAAAACTACTAACTAGTTTGTACGTATTGATGTCAGGGGTAGACATTTTCTAGTAGGTATTACACTACACCTAGCTATTTAACGCAATATAATAAATTAAAAATTTGAATATTTACACAAAACTATTTTTCAACAAAATCGGTTTTGTTTTAATTCAAACGAACCTTGGAGACTCGAGGAAAAAACTTGAAATACAATTTTATCCTACATGAATTAGACAATTATTTAGCGTCAAAGCCACATATATTTTTTACAATGATTTGATTTTAACATTTTGACAAAATTCTACAGAATTGTTAATTATTTGTTGTGGAAATATCGACTGATGGTAGAGACCGTCTCTTCTCAGAATTATTTTCGTTGTGTACAATAATGATTGTCATTGAAATTGTACACATCCATTACAGGCTACAGTGACCAATTCAATGACGCACCTACTACACAGCAGATCTTCTCTGGTTATTTTTTGTTTTAGATTCCCACAATTCGCGCCTATCATGCATTAATTTTTCAATATTATTTGTTATGTGTATAATTGTATACAATGGCGTAGCCAGGCATTTTGTATGGGGGGGTCTAAGTATACAAATACAATACCTTTTTTTTTTTTTTTTATTTAAAATATATCTACAATCTATACAGTTATTTGTACAATAATTAGATTTGATAAAGGAAAGAATATAATGTTAACGGCGAATAATAGGATTGGGAAGTTATCCATTGATAACACCCAGCAAATACAATACCTATGTCTTTTATTTACACTTTTTTTTTTTTATTAATCTTAATAAAACTCTAAGGTCAACACAGTCAATAGGGGATAGGGTTGGGGAGCTATAACCCCCTCAGCCCCTCCTCCCTGGCAACGCCACTGAATATATACAAATATTGTTTTTATTGTTTATCTTATCGTAAATATTATGATAATGGTGTAGTTTAAAATTATATATTTTATAACAATTCGTATATCTTATATAGGTATAGTAGGTACCTATTAATTATTATGATACATTGTGTATTTACGTGTGAATATATATTATGCCTAACTACATTTAAAAAAATTCTATTGTTTTAGGTATTTATTTTAGGATAGTTGTGAACTGGTCACTTGCATCTAGTTATTTATATTTACCTTCAATAGTTGGAGTAGTCATTGAACGGATTGGCAACTTATGTGGATTACCTGATTGTTATTTCAAATTTACTAAAATTGTCTTGCTTTCATCTATTTTAAACGTAATAATTATTAATTAACAATAAACATATTTTTTGCACAATAATTCGATATCGTGTAATTAAATATAAACATTTATGTTAAAGGGAGTTATTGGATTTTGGCAGGAAGTTCCTGAGATATGTTTGTGGAATCTAAGCACATTATATCATGCTGAAATTATACACTTTTATTTGCATTGTTCCATGTGGATTATATCATTTATGATTATGTTAGCAATTGATATTACTGAGATAACAGGAATCAAACCGGTAAAGTAAATTATTTGATTTCTATTTTAATTGAATTAGATATTTAATATATTTATATTTTATTTAAATTTACCATTTGAAAATAAACACTTTTTTTAAAATTATTTTTATTTTTATAATGTTGTCTTTAAAAATTAGGTTGTTATTTACTTTGTACATTGATCTTATTGTCAAGTCTATCAAGTTGTCCTCGTGGAAACCTGCTTTCTTTATAAACTTTTAAATCATACATTCAACTTTTAAAATATTTCTATCAATACATTGTATAATTTAAAAAAAAGTACAATCAAGAATTTAAGTTGTTCAAAATAAAAATATAAAACTTGTTAGTAGGTAATACAAATTGTTTTGTATTTTGTTGGTTCAGGCCTTCAGCGTAATATTTCTTTCATTAGCTTTGGTAAATTTTTTTGGTTAAAATATGTCATAATTTTAAGTACTACTATTACCTATTTATTTATTCATTACATAATATTATAATATAGGTAATACTGAAATTATTTTTTTTTATAGTATATATATTTTGAAGGGCATTAAAATGTATTAAGACTTATATTTTAAATTACATTATTATATTATCTTAAGTAAAATATGTTAATATAAATGTTTTTGTGTAAATAATAAGTATTGAAGAAATTGTATTTAATTTAATTTTAAGGTTCTAGTAAATAATCTACTGATCTACTATTATAATTCGTCCGCCTCAGCGAAGAAGGTCGTATCTCTGTTTTTACAGTTCTGCTGTACAGTAGGTTACAAGTGGGTCACTGTATAATGGATGGTATTAAATTTGAATTCAATGATATAATATCATTGTATAAGAAAAACGATTCTGAGCACAGACGGTATGTCAGTCTAGGTATAAGAAATATTATATAACTATCTATGGTATTAAAAAAATTGACCTATAATAGGTACCTATAATAAATTCCAAATTAATCATATCACAATATCCATTAGGTACTTATAACGCGTTATACATCAACAACAAACCCTGATACTATCATAGATATATAATAGTGTACTTTAGAAGTTTCAAGTACCCACGAATAATATTATACAATCACAACAAAATAACTAAAATAGTTATTCTAGGTTTTTTTTTATGTAATTTCGTCCAAATTTGAACTTAAAATGACTATAAAAATAAACTGTGCTTATGTATTTTTTTAGATTTTTTGGTAATAGAATTCACTACTTACTTGGAGTCTTGTTTTAAATTTTCTATCCTTCGATATAAAAGTTGAACATTTTATAAATTTTTAACTACAAAATAATTATTCAACTTTAAATATGATAAATTTTGTCAAAATTCGATCTTTAAATGCTTATAAAAAAAAATTGTGCCTATGTATTTTTAATATTTTTCAACTGATATTGTAACAATATATAGGAGCCTTGTAATACATTTTTACACTTTTTGACCCAACAGATAAAACTTCATTGATATTAATAGGAAAAAAAAAAATTGAAAACTGACAATGTCCTTAAACAGCTTAAAAAGAGTCAAAATATTTTCAAAACTGTATGGTGTATATGAAATGCTAATATATATAGATAATCTTATAAGGAATCTTGTATTACATTTTAAAACCTTAGATTTAAAAAGAAAAATTTTTACGAATTCTTAACTCAAAATAATTTGATAATTTTCGTAATTTTTCCATATTTTGTCAATTTTTGAACTTTAAATGCTTACAAAAAACACTGTGACTAAGGATTTTTAATATTTTTCATCTGCCTTTGAAACAACATATTAGGAGCCTTCTATTAAATTTTCAAGCTTTCGCAACCAACAAATAAAATTTTATTGATATTTTTAGAAAAAAAACTAAAAAAAAATGGAAAATGAAAATGTCCCTAAACAGTTCAAAACGAATCATATAATAATTTGAAAATTTCATCGTGTATAGAAAATCCAAATAAAAACAACTAGTGAAAATTTCATGTATGTACACTCATTTATTTTAGAGTTACACCAAAAACCAAAATCGATTTTTTCGAAAACAGATTTTGTGTGAAAATTCCCGTTTTTCCTTAATTTTTCTTTTGTTTTTCTTGTAAAAACTACTTGAAAAATTTTACTTTTGATCCCCCAAAGTACCAACTAGATTCACTCTCCTATCAGAAAAGCTACTGTTGAAGAAAATCCAAGCACTTTTAATGTCCTAAAACGTGATGACAGACACAAAAAAAAATAAAAAATAAAAAAATAATAAAAAATCACACATCATTGTAAAATCAATATATTCATCGTTTCACTCAGAATCTAAAAAACACACATCATTGTAAAATTAATACATTCATTATTCCACTCAGAATCTAAATATTGTGAAAACAGAGATATATGATCTTCTTCGCTGCAGTGGGTGATATAGAAATATATTTCATACCTATTTTACGAAATGTATTTTTCATGATGGGTATTATGCACATTTTTAAACATTTACATAAAAATCAGATTTTTGAAAAATATTGTTATAATTTAGTTCTTGCTTTAATTTAATTTAAGTGTTTTTATTAATTGTACTAAGTTTTAATTGAAATTAATATGATACTATTTAGGCACACTTTACATAATTGGTAGGTATCCTTTTGTATTGTGTAATTATAACTGCATTTCTAGAACTTGCACGTATTCTAATGTTTTTATATATAGGTGTACATTCGGATAAATTATAATTATAGAAGTTTTAGAGATAGTATCAATTAACATAATTGCAAGCAATGTAAACTTTTTGTTTTTCTTATGAATTATTTAACTTAAGATAGTAAAGAAAATTAGTAGCAATATAAAAAATAACACATTTTTATTTTATATTGTAAAAAAAAAAATAGCAATATTCAGGCTAGAGAATTATATTAGTTTTATTTTTTATTCATTAATTATTTATTTTAATGTTTCAAATTTTGATAGTGTGCAAACAGTAGTTGGGTTATATTGAATGGGAATCGAATTAAAGATCCATGTTTTAAATTACGAGTATAAATAAAAATACGATTTTTTACACCTATACTCGTTTAGATAAATTGATTTAAGTTTAATAACAAATAGTTTAAGTTTTAAAAAAAAAGTTACATAAACCGTCAATTCATAAATGAAATGAAGTTATTATAATTATTTTTATGGTATTGCGTGTAGTTACATACTGTAAATGATAGCATTATAGCAGCTGGTCACTGCTATAAATGAGAGATATTTCCCTAAATATTGTCATTCCGATTTGCTTAGGTCCTGTCCTTCGTTGACGTGCAGCGCCGGCGGGAGGTTTTGCGGGGCACGGGACAGATTTTTTTCATGGTTCCTAGACATTTTTTATTGTAAGGCAAAAAAAAATTTTTTCACAAGTCCTATTACGTATATGTACTTGTATGAAATTTTTTTCAGTTTTACATTACTTACCTATAAATATTTTTTTTTATGTAGGTACTCAATTAAATAATGTATTAAACGTTCACTCTTCAGTATGTATTTATTTCTTAAAACAGATAAAACATAAAGCTACAAATATTATTTTGATTGTACCTATACCTAATTTATTGGATACATTTTTCATATTAAAATAAAATATGTGCAAGTTAAATGTTTAGGTAAACTGCACTAAGTACACTAAATACAAGATTTACACAAAAATTAAAAAAAAACTCAAGATTTTAAAATTTCAAAATTGTTTTTTCTATCTTTCCAATAAATAATGATAATTGATAAATACGTATATAATCGCAGCGGACGTGCATCTCGAGAATTGATTCGCTATCGTACGTCTATTTTCTATACTCAATACCGCCTAATCGTCTATTCGTCTCTAATACTCAAATAGTCAAATGACAAACTATATAACCAGGATAAGAAAAACACGCAATCCACATTTTAATGGAATTGATGTGCACATAACCAATTAAATTGTTTCCAGCGGATTATTTTGGACGTCGCCGTCGCACGTCGGCATTATAATTTATTTTTACTCTCACTCGTTTATTATATGAAAAACCCACAAGCCGTAACTGCAGACGGCCCGCCGAGACTTATATTTTTAACTTGAAAAACAAAATTATGGGCTTACAAATTATCAAATACCATACAAGGCGCGGGACCCCAAAATGGCGGGGCCCTGGGCAAGAAGCCCCTTCTGCCCTGCACTTTCGCCGGCGCTGTTGACGTGTTCTACTGAATCGCTTTAGTAAAATGATCCTGTTTGGGAGTTATATGATACTTAAGTGATGCATTATAAAACGTATGTATTAAATTATTTTTCTTTAAATTATTTTAGACATTCAAAGTAAGTGGTAGGTACCTACTTAATTTTTTTTTTTAGTTAAATATTTAAAATATTCATATGAAATATTTAAAAAGTGAACATACGAGTAAGTACATGGTTATTTGTTACGAATAATGTTTTAAAATCTCATGATTTTTCGAATTTGTATTTAGTTTGAGTATAATACAATTCCTATAGTACCTACCTTTCTGGCTTTAAAGTATTTTGAAAATCTAATATGAGTTTCCAAATTAATATACATAATATATAATATATATTAACTTTAAAGTAGTGCTTAAAAATATTAAAACACATTTTAAATCTGAGTTTTAAACTTTTATGGTATCTAGTTAATTTTTAAATAAATAATAGATAATATAAAGAATTTATAATATTTATTATGATATGGGGTTTTTACGATTTTCCCGAATTTAAAATATTAATAGTTTAAAAAGTAAAAAAAGTGTTGAAACTTTTTTAATTAGCCTAAAACTACTTTTAAAATTATTTAAAATTAGTTAATATTTATGTAATGAAAATAATAAGTATACATATAATATATAGGTGTATCCTAGTACGTACTACCTACTAAATCTCATTCGGAAATCCTCTGAACTGAGTTCTGAAATGTACCTATAATCCTCTTCATGTTTTGGGGTCACATAATCACAAAACCCTTGTTCTCTTAAAAGATATTTGGCTGTTATTTATTCTAACTTTAAACAAGTTTTACTATCAAAA